CTCCAAGTATGCCAAAATGAAATGTACTCGTCAAAGGGGAACGTACGTCCGCATCATCCTCTAGATCAGCCAGTAAATCTATAATGAGAACGATTATGGTTAGCATGCCTGATATCTCCATAGCACTGTCGCGGCCAACCCTATACCTTCATCGGCTTCAATTTCTTCAGGAGCAGGCCCTTCATTAGCCGCAAGAGGGTTATTCAGTACCTCAGGGTTCGTGAGAACTGCGTGAGGCTTATCTGGTTTGTTATGATCTGTCTGTTGGTCGCTCATATTGCCGTGGAGGGGGAGAATAGACGTAGGAAACCAGGTGAATTTGACGAGGTGCTAGCCAAAGGGTGTAGCGTTCGGTAAAATCGAGGGGGGGTTGTAATGATAATCTCTTGCAAAGTACAATATACCTTGTATGATATCAGTCTCAAATTGAAGCGTTTATTATCGATAGCTAATGTAACAAGGTACGTACCCAAGCAAACTAGGCGGCCAGGAACCACAGGTGCGTCATGGCCTCCACGTGACCGCCCAACGGCCCCGTTACTACCGTCGACTACCAGCAGCTCCTTTGGCCTAAAGAGTCGAAGTACGGACTTAGCTGAGGCTACAAGCTATGATCAAATACTACAGGAGAATGGCTGCGCTAATAGATACCACAGGATTGTTGACTATCAATCTATTAAAACATAGACAAGAAAGAATACACCAAGTACTTTAATTTGGAAAAAGAACGTTACTAGAACGTATGCAGATGTGAAGAAAAGAAAACCTCAGATATGAAAATATGAATGCATGCTAGGTGAGAAGTGAATAGATAAATAGGCGAAACAAGAACATCTTGCTCTAAGAAAGAAGAGGAAAGTATGCATATATATGATCAAACTAGGTGCCCGGTTAAAAAAAGGGGGTTAAATGTGTGAAATTGAAACGGAGTTGGTCCTTTGGACGTCGAGAAGGGTAAGTGAATATAAAGTATCAAGGCTGCGGGATAAATAGACCCATAGAACTGAAGAGAATTGAAGGGTAATAACGAATAGGTAGGCTCAGAGCTAAGGCTGATGCGTAACTGGATATGTTGTGTCAATAGATGTATAACTGTGGGTTTAAATAACTGGATAACTGGAATATCAAAGACAATGAGGGCAGATGTGATAAGGAAAAGAGAAATGGAGTAGTCAAGGAAAGAGGTGTGCAGTATGGCGACTGCTCGCAGATTCGGGGTTCAGGGGTGGAGGTACAGGAGGAAATATGGGGCGGATAGGGAATAGGGCAGGAAGTTAAGTTTCTGGAGTCAAGATCATAAAGACTCCAGAAGTTGACAGGGAACGCAGACGAAGAACGAGATATAGTGTAATGGGCAGAAGTTAAAGTAGGTGCAGGAAATTAGATGGTTTAGGGGTAAATAAAGTCCGAAGGCCGCCAGGGGAATAATTGAGGGGAATTGTTTCTTGAAACAATATGGGAGAAAGATAGGGGGTTGGAGGGAATAATGTTGAACAGACTGAAAGGGTTGAGTCAAGGAAACTAAAGAAATGGTGCTTGGAGAGTAATAACAAATAAAACAAGGAAAAACTAATAAAAACAATCAGGGTATTAGAGCGAACGTGGCTCGTTTAAGAGAGCATCTTTTTTCGGTGCACAGGCAAGGACAGGAATTTTTGGGAATTAATTAACAAGGGGGGTTAGATACGGGCAGGAGCGACGTCAAAGTAGCATAGGCTGGCTGCTAGCTGTCTCGAGGATGGCGATGCTATAAGGCAACATCCAGCACCAAGCTAACATCCCGTACTTGGCTGTGAGCTAAGTCTTCCAGTACTGGGATGAGGTCGAGAAGTTCGTTGTCATGGGCGTCCGAGAACCAGCTGCTGATCGGGATGGCGTGTTTTGGGTGGAATATGTAGGAAGTTGGAGAATTATCGATAATGATGGTTTCTTTAAGATCACGGCCAACTTGCGAAAGATCCTGGGAAAGTTTTAGTGAAAGGCTATCAAAGTATATCCAAGGAGGTTTGGCATTACCTTGACGTAGTTTCCTTGGTGGTTGTAGCAGCTGTCTCTAAATAGGCGATGGTGGACAACTTTATGGATATCTAGTTTATCTAGTAATGGATCTCCATACTGTAGAAGTGTTAGCCGCAGGTAATATGGTAAGGTATTCGCAGGGGGAATGACAACAAACCTTTGATACGGATGCAGTGAAGACAACAACCTCGTATAGTTCACCAACACGTTTCATAAACTGGTCTACTCCTGGGCGTTTGATCACATATATATTGTGATACTGTCCTTCTATCTCAACAGGGATGGTAAAATCAGCTCGATCAAGAACCTATTGTGGAAATATGTTAGCAACGACAATATACATAGTAACAGAAGAAGAAAAAAGGGCAGGTAATTCATACCTTGAAGCTACTATGAACAAGTGTTTCGTCGAGATCCAGGACTAGGCATTTCCTGCCAGAGAAATGATCTTGGATGGGAGGCAACAACCATTTTTGCTTTTCGCTTTGAACCGATGGGACAGGGGGGACTTGTTTATCAGTAGTTGGCTGGGGATATGTGCGGTCTAGGGGAGGTGGAGGTGGAAGATTGGCTTGATGAACAACCTGGTGGTTCGCTTCGGCGGCTGGCTCATCGGTGCTGGCGATGGGGTACTGGTTATGCATGTTGGTTTCGTCGGTCCGG